GCTTTCTAGTAAATCTACCCTCTGTCTTAATTTAAACCCGATACATTTTGCCTCCAGCATGTAGAACTTCATCTGATGATGTCACATTGCAGCTACCTGACAGACATTCTATTCTCATTCTGGCTTATTTACTAATTAGTGTAGGTGTAGTAAGAAGGATTCTGTTTTCATCTGGACCTCCTAGCACTGACTGCAGCACTTTGAGCCGTTTAGCTGGTTGCCAGCCCACCTCTCCACTTATTTAACTCATATTCATGTTCTGTAAGAATGGTATTGGAGATAGTGTCAAAAGCCCTTCCAAAGTCAAATAAATTACATCCACTGCTTGTCCACCAGACTAATCTTATCATAGAAGAGGTGATTTCCTCTTCCTCAATCCATACTGACAAGGGTCTCTCACTTTTTGTCCTGAGTATGTTTGGAAATGGCTTCCAAGATTGGCTTCAGCACCTTGCCATGGACCGAGGTGAGGCTGACTGGTCTGTAGTTCTCCAATATCTCATTCTTGCTCTTCTTGAATACAGGAATCAGAATTCTTCCCATGTAGAAACCTGTTCTGAGCACCATAAGTTCAGAGATAATTGAGAATTGTCTCCCAATGACATTGGCCAACACAAATGTGTGCATCTTACAAAGTCCCATGGACTCATGGGTGTCCAATTTGGTTAACTGTTTCCTGATATTTATTACCCTTGGTGGAAGAGTAATCCTTGGTCTTGACTTTCCCACTGGTGTTTAGGGTCTGGGATTCATCATGGTAAACCTCTTTCCTACTAAAGATTAGGGTAAAGAGGGCATTGAATATAAAATCATAGAATCACAAAATCAGAGAACCACGGAACAACACATGTTGAGGGTGACCTTGTGAGAACATACATGGTCCAACATTTTGCAGAAAAGGGAGTCTAGAGGAGATTATCTAGCACCCTGTTCACTTGTATCTTGAAAAGCTCCATCCAAAAGATGGGGTCTCCACTGCACCCTTTAGGAGGTTGTTCCAGTGACTGTTCTTATGAAAATGAAAAATGAAAAAGGTCTTTCTTATATCAAGAAGAGTGAGTTGGCCTTTTTGATGTACCCTGTATCTTTCAGCAGCTGGCCCACTTTTCTCCTGGTTTTCCTTTTGCTGCCACTGTACTTGAAGAGGCTTTTCTCGTTCCCTTTCCCATCCTTCAGCTGCTGGTGGGCTTTGGCTTTCCTAATTTAATCTCTGTGTGATTAAACACTGCCTTTGTATTCTCGCTAGGTTCACTTGCCTCTCTTTCTACATCCTGTATGCTTTCTCTTTGTGGTTGAGTTTTTTCAGGACCACCCTTTTCATCCATTCAGGCTTCTTGCCACTTTTGCTTGAGCTCCTGCATGTGGGGACAGACAGTTTGGCAGCATAGAAGAGGTGATCTTTGAAAATTAACCCTCTATCCTGGACTCCTCTTTGCTCCAGGACTCTCCCACAGGATTCTTCCTGAACTAGTTCTTAATCAGGCCAGATCTGCTCTTCTGAAGTCTAATGCTGTGATTCTGCTTCTTGCCTGATTCTGTCTTCTCAGGATCCTGAATTCTACCATTTCATGGTCACTGCAATCAAGTTACCCAACCTTCAGGATTCTGACGACTTCTGCATTTACTCCTGTTTGTAGCACCAGGAGGACAGCATGAGTGAATGACAGGACTTTACTGATCCCAGGAATCAAGATTCCTCCAAGGAGTCTTCTATTTCCCAACAAAAATTTGAAGCTCTGTGAAGTCTTTTTTTTCTTTTCCCCTGCTTTTTCTTTTTCTTCTTTCCTGGGTTGGTGATTATCTTAGTGTTTTAACTTTCTGGCAAAGTTAGTGATCACTTTGCCAACAAAAACAATTTTTATCAGTTTTATTATGACATAAAAGTTTGATGAAGAATGAATTTGCATTTGACTTTTCATATTGTTGCTCTTTTCCCTGAACTATTTATCCTGGATCTAATTGTTTTTCCTGCTGTGTGATAAGTCCTGATGACCACAAAAGGGTGGAACATGACAGAACATGTAACAAATGAAGATGCTCTTTGTTTCAATTTTTCTGTTCTCCAGGTATCTATTGAATTATCTACTCGTTAAGATGTTCTACTTTATCTGGTCTTTCTCATCTGTTTTTTCAGGCTCAAATTTCTTTTTAAAGTGCTGCTAGGCATTCTTAAGCCAAAAAAAAGAGGCATGTTTACTTCAGCAAGTAGAGATACAAATGTAGTCTTGCAAAAGGAACCAACTGGTCAGCCTTGTAAAACCATGGGAAACTTTCTTGCAGATTACAGAAAATGAAAGAAGAAAGTTTGCTAATTGTAGTATATTTGTTAACTAAAGTGGAACAGTCTAACCATAATCCCAGCTGTAAAAAAAAAAAAAAAAAAAAAAAGGAAAAAAAAAAAAAAAAAAAAAAAGGGGGGGAAAGCTAGTGGCTGCTGTACTGTAGTATTTCCTTCTTTTCCAAAGCATAATCCAACTTTTTCTTGAATTAATGTACTCAAGTCACTTTAACTGCTGGCTGAAAAACTTTTGGCAGTTTGTTTGATATTCCAGCCAATCTTTGTATAAAAAATCATCTGAATTGTTTATAGGTTTGTCCTTCTGTCCAGAGTTTATTCCATAATCTCTTATTTTGAAAACAACTGTACTTACAGGATGCTCTTAAGTAGTTTTGGCCTTGCATTGAAGGGTTGTGGTTAATGGGCAGGAGATTCATAGACATTGGAATCATTAGACACATGTTTATCAACAGTTGACTAAATTAAATGAGTCAATTCCACCTAAATATTCTCATGTAGCATCCTTATTATGCAGTTTGAAAATTATTTAAGTTTTCACAATTAACTCTTTTGTGTTTTTTAAAATTATTGGAAGTATAGAGTCACAGAGAAATAAATGACTTGTTAATTACTCTCTCCACATTGAATGTAGGCTGGAAAGGGAGCTGACTATGAGATGAAGTTAAGGATTATTATGACTATTTCTGCTGATTCTTTTTCCACTTTCAATGTGTGTATTATGTTGCCAAAGTAGGTAGGACTCTCATAATTGCACATTCATGGAATTTAGTAGTAAGCTGGTGTGAAGACTGTATGCAAGGGTGTAAGCAACACTTTCATTTGCTTAAGAGTATACTTAGATTAATCTTGGCTTTGAATTTGATTGAGAGGAAAGACAGTAGATGGAGGGCATTGCCATTTTTGAATCTGACCTGGCTCTGGCTGAAGTCAATGTGCAAAGTCTGATGTCTGACTGTGCAAAAAAACCACTCTGAACTGTGTTTGAAGATTTTTATTTGCCACCTAAAAGAATTGGTGCTTAAAGACTGGATGTGGCACGTGGCACTTAGTGCCATGGGTGGTTTAGTTGATAAGGTGTTGATAGGTCATAGGTTGGACTTGATGAACTCCAAGGTCTTTTCCAAATGAATTGATTCTGTGATTCTGTGACATTATTTTGTGTCTGGGATAGATAGCTCTGTGGAATAGGTTTAATCAGTTCAGCTGCCACATTTCACTGATATTTCTGCAGAGTTTTTGGGAAGGAAAGATGTGAAATAATGTTTTTTAGTCATCAGAGAATCCAAACACGACATTTATTCCTCATAGCCATAAGACTAAATCTGTATGTGAATGATCCAGCTTTGTTCCTAGGCAATAAATAACACATGCTGCTAAAAATAACCAGCCATTTCCACCAATTGTTCAAAAAGGGGAGAAAGGTTTTGTTGAAGGGGCAATTAAAATTCCGAAATAAAACACTTAAAAACTCAGGAAATTGCAAAATGAACCTTCATGCTTCTCTGTGTATTTTCACGAAGTTGCAGGTTTTAACTGCATGATATTTAACTAACTTAATGGTTTCAGATTGTCTGGAATTTATGTAACACCTTTAGAGATTTTTAAAGAAAGTGAGGCTCAGAAAAATTGATGACTCACTGACGATAGGTGAGAAAAAGGAAAAAGGTAGTTACTAGGTTTGGAAAGTAGGGGAAATAAATGTTAGAAAGAACAGACTGATCAATATAAATACAATTTCCCTCCAAATTCTGGAGAAATTGCAGACAACCTGAATTTAAACATGTAGAATACACAGACGACGGCACCCAATGTGTGAAGAACAATCAGTAACAAATTGCATCAGTTGTCTGGGTCAAGCCAATCCACAACAGAGCAGCAGACCCTGGATACAGCAGAATTAGCAAGTCTGTGCAGATTGTAGTAAGCTCTTTTAATATTGCTTTATATAGCATTCTAATGAGAATCAAGGCAAATATTCTCAATTAACCTGCGGTGCAGTGGGTGAAAAAGAGGCTTACTAAGTGCATCTAAATACTAATTTTTAGTAGTTCTTTAATGTATTGGATGAGTATCAGTTGAGGCCTCCCAGCATTCAAGGTTTTAAGTAGTGTCTTTATGATGGTATTGAATAGGCTTATAAAGTTTGCTGTTGGCACTAACTCTATATGCACTAAAGACAATAATTAGAATTCAAAAATGCATTTAGCAATGAAGTTCAGAGATTGTTTGACAGACAAATAGGAGTTATTGCACTTAGCCAGGAGTAATCAACTGTGTAAATGCAGAATGGATAACCCAAGTAGAAGCTGTAGAAAATCACTAAGGTAACAGTGGGTCTGAAGCTGAATACTAGTTGACAAGACGATTTTAAGGACAGATCTGAAAGTGTTTGGGTTGATTAACCTAAAGAAGAGAAGACCTAAGAGAGGACATAGTGGGAGAAGAACTAATAGCATCAACTGTGACAAGAAAGGTTCTGATTAGAAGAAAGGAAAACAGTTCTAATGGCAAGGGAGGTGAAGTGCTGGAACAGATTGCTTACTGTTAGCTTGGAGCATCCATCAAGAGATGAGACAAACAGCTGTTAGGAATGACATGATTATAACTGATCCTGCTGTACTGTGGGCTGGGTGGAAATGGGTAACCTCTGGAGTAATTCTGTGTTTCTGTTTATGACATTTTCCTGCAGAATTCTTATGAAAAACAAGAGTTGCAAGTGGAACACTTGTGCTTCCTGCCTTCTGCAAACTAAGTATTTTTACAGCAGTGTATCTGCAGTACTCAAGGAATCTCCTTGAACAGAAAGACAGTGGCAGTTCACTTTATTTAACAGGTAAGCATTTTACTAAATTCACTCAATTATCATTCATATTGTGTGGTGTGGGTTTAGCCCAAAATTCACCAACAGGCAGAAAGGGTTAATAAAAAGGGCAGGCAACCAGTCTTGCTTTGCTGCTGACTCTTTTTGTAATCCAGTTTAAATCCCTTGGGCTCCCTCTGGATTCTTTCCCCCTTTTTTTTTTTTTTTTTTTTTTTTTTTTTCTGTATTTTTCCCCCCTACATGATTCAAGGTCTTGCTTGATGCAAGCACTGGTAAAAAGGGATTATGCCACTGTGGGTGTTTGTGTAGCACCTGGTATTACAGTGCTTGAACTTAATTGAATATTCAGTGTGCTACTGTAACACAAGTAATAAGCCGCAATAACAGACACTGAAGACCACAAGTCTTCCTGTTGACTCCAGTGGAAGTAATTGAATCAGGCCTTAAATGAATGAAGAGGGGATCTTAAAAGGATATTCTTGGTCAGTAGTCTCTCCAAATGTCTTCACGTCCTTGTGCCATCCTATTCTCCCGTTCCCATTTCCTTGTGTGAGCTGTCATCTTTCTCTGATTTGATGTGTCCCTGCTGCAGCGTTTTGAAATACAGAATGCATGAAATATGCCTTTCATATGAGCATGAATTCTAGTTTTGTTCAGACATGTCTGTGGTCAAAATCTGATATTCTCTGTCTAGTCTTATAGTTCAGAGGCCACTCTTTCAACTTATCTAGGAAAGCATATTTTCCTAGAGAACTGGCTAGTATATGAGGAATATAGAGAATGGAATATTTTAAAAATCATGTGTTACTCATACAAAAATGCAGGGCTAATAGCACAAGTCATAGCATGCTACATTTCAGAATCTATTTTAATCTGTTTTTTACTTTTCCTGTCATTTAAAGCCAGTATTTCTTTAAGTTTTACATGATTTACTTTTTCATTGGGAAAAAAAAATAATCAGAGTCTAGCTAATGGTGAGACAGCTTAAAAATAATTGTAACTAGGAACTGGGCCATGATTAAAATTGTTCAGCTGTTCGTTTTATTGTTTGTTCCCAAAACCTTAAATGCACTCTCTGAGAACAATAACAACAGTTAGCATGTAACTCCGTATGGGCCAATTCATGCAGTCCTCTCTCAGCCCTTTCTTCCTGCAGAAAAACTTCTGTTTAGGAGACTTTTTAAGGAATTCAGGGCTAGAACTATTTCTTCTAGCTATTTGGTAATTATAACCTGAAAACTATCAAAGAGAAAGGAGAAAAAAACAGAAGGAGGAAACAAAATGAAGTCTACCTTACCAGCATAATTGGATTGGAGGGGGTGAATAGAACAGGACAGGCTGTGATAGCCCTTTGAACACTATCTGCATCTTTGTCAGCCTCTGTGATATTTGTGTCTGGGGTGTTTACTATTGGGTTTCCTACCCAATAGTAGGAAGAGGGATGAATCTCTGCAATGAGGGTTGTAGTGATAGCAACTGCAAAGAAAAATATAGAGAGAAAAAAGATGATAGCCACTTGCTACAGTAAAACAAACTGGTTTCATAAGTAAGAAATCATATTTGCTGTCAGTTGACCTTAGCTGAGTTGTGGAAAGTTGCAGCTTCTTCAGGCAGTGGCTGGTTGACATTCTTGATTGCTTGATTTTCCTCTTTGAGTCTACAGAACTAGGCACTTTTGATATTAAAAATTGACTGTTCTCCTACACATCTTCTGAAATAATTTTCTGTGTTTCCACATGCAGAACAAACTTTTAAGACTGATGGTGGTATGCAGGGAATTGTAACCTGTTGTGGCTGAACTCAGAAGTGATAAGCCACATTTAGGGTGGGATTCTCAAACTCCATTGCTGTTACACAGCTGCTGGAAGGTACAGTCTTGCAGGCACCTGTGGAAGTTGCACCGAAAGTGCCAATTTATAGCCAGACAGAGTATATACAAAAAGTATATAGCTCACAATGCCTTTCCACTATAAAACCTCTTATGACATTAATATTTTGATTTCACTGAATTTCAGCTGGGTTACCAAGTGTGTATGGGATGCACAGTTGGGTCCTTTTATGACATAATTTAGGAAGAGCTACTGTAAGCATAATTTGAACCTTTTCTCTCAGGGGAAGTATTGAAACCTCATTCACGTTTTAGGATGAGTAAGGATGTGGTGTTACTCACAGCAGGAACCTCATTTAGAGCCCATTGATGTCAATGGAAACACTTCCTTTTGCCTCAGTGGGCTATGGACCAGGAATATCCAAGAGTAAGTGAACTAAGGATTCTGCTGACTGTATCATACAGTATATGCTGTACAGTTTTACTAAAATAAACACATTTGCTTAGCCAAAATACTTAATGTTTAATTTAAAAAACATAATATAAAAAGAATGGATTTTGCTTTACTGATGTTTTAAGCTTTAATTTAATGTAACATAGTGAAAAAGACACCAAATATTCTAGTTTTGTTTCATTAGAACCAGATGGTCCATGAAAGACTTTTGGCTAAACTAGAGTTGGGAAAGCTTATAAACTCTGACTAGTCTGAAAATGTGCTCAAAATTGCTAAATCAGATGATATGCCCAGTTTTATAATGTGAAATTCTTTGGCTGTTTTACTAACATCCTGGTAAGGTGCTGTACAATTTAGGCAATTACAAGAAACTCTTTTGGATGCTACTGTCATTATTGTTCTGCTTTGGGATTGGAAAAACAACAAAATTGCTCTAATGCAAGTGAAGTATCCGAGAAAACATCACAGTGATGTTGTTAGTGAAGAACTAATGAGGAAAAAGAATTGTTATTATTGACTTATTTTTTTTATATGATGAGACAAATTTGTTTGTCTCAAAAAATTAAAACCCTCCAACGAAATTCCCCAACCCAAAACCTCATGACCTTTATCTTGAAAGAGTGATAAATCTTTTCTCTTTACCCTAACAACACTGCTGGTATGGTAAATATACATTCCCAGCTGACAGTGATCAGACAGAATATTAACTCCACAATGAAATATTAAAGTAATAATGACCATCAGGAATGAGACATGCAATTTGAATTTACTTCAGTACTCTTTTCACTGCAGTCCTTCTGTGTCCTGGAAAGTATCTTGTGTGTTCTGATAAGTAGAAGGCAGGGGCAGTTTTGATGAGGTAGGCAGGTAGGAATTGAAAAAAATTGCTCAGAAGAAATACAGATAACCTGAAATATATTTCCTCTTGCTAATAGAGATTGAGAGAAAAACAAATGCCCATAATAGGTCACTAGAGTTCAACTACATTTAAGGTCGAAGGTAACTTTTATGGCATTCTGTCCTGACTTATATAACAGATTGCTGATTGCAATTGAATCAGAGCATATCAAGGGTCTTTGGTTGCTACTCTTAAAGGTCTTGATTACATTATACAATAGTTTCATACCTTGGGCATTAGGACATTAGGAATGGATTTTCAAAACCTTTTTCCTGTGATTTCCTACTAATCCTTCTCAGGTGAGAACTTCTTGCCTCTGCTGTGTTAGTGGCTTCATTGTTCCTAACTAAGCTGTTTTCATGCAGGATCAGGTTCTCTGGGCAGGTATGTCTTAGTTTCAGCACTGAAACATGGTCTTGCTCTGTTTTGCAAATACAGATTAAACTGGTTTCAGCAGGGCCACTCACTGAGTAAAGGCTGGGATGGAAAGTCCTTTCAGGAAGTCAAACTACCTTTAAAAGAAAACCAGTTTTGCAACCATAGCAATATGAGGGCTACAGTAGGTAACACAAATGCTCAATTCAGCAGCATTGTATCTCTAAAGAAGTCAAAGTTATAATTGTTGTATGACATTTAGTTTCTTTCTAATTTCTTACCCAAATCCCTGGTAGCTCTGTTGGCCTGATTTTTTCTCCAAGTAGCTGTATATGTATACATATGTAGGCGTGTGTGCAAACACATATTTTCATGTGTATGTCTGATAAGGGTTGTGAATTTATATCAGTGATTTGCACAACAAAATCAGGAGGGTATATATAGCCCAGCAAATATTGACAAGTCCTTTGGTCTTCTGTAGTTTCTCAGTAGGGTGCTGGCTTAGGATTTTCTTTGCTTTTAATCTGTCTGGATTTAGGACATGCCTTTTCCTTTGAACATTAAGGTCTAGTGAATCAGGCACCCCTGACTTCATACATCGTAATTGACAATTTTCCTCTATTAGGGAGTTTAAATGAAAAGTTTTACTGCCTCTACATGCTCAAACAGACCCTTTCAGAATTAAAGATAATTAAAAAAACTTTAATGATCATTAAAAGGCATGACTTGCACAATTCTCTGTAGAAAATCATAGAATTGTTTTGTCTTTGCCTTATTAGGCATTAGCACTTGTTTGGAAGATAACTTGTATCTTAGTGAGGTTTTTGAAAAACTACTCTGTCAAGTTTGTCAGGGAACTTGAAGCAAGAAAAACTTAATATGACTTTGGGTTAATATTTCTCAAGAGTGTCTATGTCATAAAACCCAAGACATTTATTTGCATAATTTGGCCTTAGGATACAGGGAGGAGTGGGGAATAGGCAGAGGAAAATGTACTGGAGGAGTAGTAGAGATTTTGATCAGAGAGACTGTCAGAAGATTGTGAATTTGCACAGAGCTGTATGTCTTAAAAAAATTAAGTGGAAAGAATCTTGACTCAGATGTCTATAATAATTTCTTAATCTGTGGCCTACAATCTGTCCTTTTAGAAAATGCAGACTCTTCAAACCTCACATTTAAAATCACTGTGGAAATCAGAGCTCAGGCAAAGATTTAAGTTCAGAGCAAGCAATGAGTTTATATTAAAAGATATTTTACATTTTTTCAGTGGACCTGATTGTTGGTCCACTGAATGAATTATGTATCCAGACAAGTCCTGCAAAAAATTAAATCCTTCCCTTTAGAACTAATGTGTGTCTTTGCATTGTACCCTAAGTATCTAGCACCACTGGTGCTAGAATAGGGACCTAGTGGAGATCCTGAGTTGTACTTTCCTCCCTGGCTTCTGCTCCTGCTTT